CCGACTGTCGTGGTGGCTTCTTTTAAGCAACGCTACTTTGATTGTTGTTGGTTGGTTGGTTACATGTCGGCGGCGTCGAGGCATGCCGAATTTAAGTGGATGTGCTGCTCCATGCATGCGCAAGTGAATTTGCCGGGAATATTTGTGTGCGTGTGGTCACAAATTCAGTATATGTATATGCAAATATATATAGCATATATGCGTAAGTATATAAGTATATATGTATATATGTATGTGTGTATGAATATGTATATATGATAATATTTTACATTTACATAGTTGCAACGTGTGTGTGGTTGTTTGACCAAGTGCTGGCTGGCTGCCGCTCGTGGCAAGCCAAAATCTTGCTGCTGTTGAGACACTTACAAACACACACATGTCTATTGTTGTTGTTGGTGTTATACAAGCATTTTTGTCATTTTGAGAATTTTTGCATGTTCACCGAAAGTGAGGGAGTGTATGAGAGTCAATACATACATCTATACATTTATATGCTAGAATTTGTGTTCCAATGTGTATGTGTGTTTGTGTACGGCGAGCATCTCCGAGTGTGTCATTAAGAAAATGAAGCTCACAACAGTTTGCCATCAAGCAGCCAACCCCATACTCACCACAAATGCATTTGTAGTATTGAAATTTCGCTGCAACCACTAACATGAATGAAACAAACATGAAACAGCATGTGCATTAGGGTGAGTCATAAAACTCGAATATTTTCCTCGCTTGGTGCCCTGAAAAATAGGTTTTCAGATATTTATAAGAAATATTTTTTAAATATGTCTCCGGATCGAAAACCCACCAACCATATCGGCAATGTTGTGACGGACGAAAGACATGTCTCCAGTGTTTTGTATATGCAAATGCTCCCAGGTCCTAACATCGACTAGGACCACTAACATCTTACAGCCGTGAAACGCACCCGCCTTTGTGTAGCAAAAAAAACACGTGAACAATTACAAGTAAAGTTCGACGTCGAGAAGCTGCAACCGAAAAATTTTCTACTCGACTTGCACTTCTCTCAGAGCACTCGTCAACAACTTGGTGTAAGGGAACTGTGGGCATCTCAAACTCCTATACGCATTTGCAGACAAAAAACGAGAGAGGCCGAAGTGTGTGAAAGCGAAGAGCTTGTCAAGCTGGCGGAAAAGGGTAATTCTGGCAGATTCTACGAAAAGATGCGGCGACTAACAGAATGTTTCCAGACCGAATCATACTCTTGTATAACCCCTAGAGGTGATCTAGTAACCGATGCCCAGAGCATACTAAAATTATGGAGGGAGCACTTCTCATCTTTGCAATGAGAGTATAACACAAATAAATGGTGAACCCGATACCCCAATCGATGAAGAGGGAGCGGACGTTCCATTGCCCGATCAAAAGAAGTTAGAATATGTATGTATTACTTGTCTGAAGAACAACAAAGCGGCGGGGCCCGACAGATTGTCGGCTGATCTATTCAGACACGGCGGCAAGAAAAGATAAGAAGCATGCATCAGCTTCTTTGTAGAATGTGGTCGGACGAAGGCCTGTGCGACGATTTAAGTGTATTTTGCCCCATCTACAAAATGGGAGACTCCACAATCTGCGCCAACACCTGTAGTAGCAGCTCCAACGCAGACTAACTCTTGCAAAAGATGCTACTTCGGACTGAGTAGGCAATTGAGAAGTAAAGTCCCCTCTTGACGAACAAAGACCAAATTCTATAAGTCACACATTATTCCCGTCCGGCTATATAGCATGGACGATGACAACATCAGATTAGTCGACGTTACGAGTTTTTAAGAGAAGGTTTATGGCTCATTGTGCAATGGCAACGGCGAATATCGCGAACGATGAGCTGTACGAATTATATGACGACATTGACATAGTTCAGCGATGCAAGAGACAGCGGCTGCGCTGCCTAGATCATGTCTTCCGAATGGACGAAAATACTCCAATTCTGAAAGTATTCGACGCAGTACCCGAGAGAGGAAGTGGAGGAGGAGGAAGACCCCCAACTCCGTTGGAAGGACCAGGTGGAGAAGGACCTGGCTGCACTTGTTTCTGGAATTGGCGCATTATTTAAAAAAAAAAAAAACAAAAAAAAAAAAAAAAAACGACTGGCATGCTGTTGTTATATCGGTTCTAATCGCGCTTTTGTACCACCCTATTGTTTTTGTATGTGTGGACGCAGTGGTGTTTATGTTGCTTTGGTTGAATTTAAATGTTCCTAAAAGTATACGCTGCAAGTTAGTTGATTGAATTTTAATTAAAGTGGCTCTTAAAATTCAGTGCATTCCGCAGCTGGCTACTGAAAGTGTCTTCAATGATAAAAATTCCTTGCAACATTTTAAATATAATAAAATTAAGTAAAATTAAGAAAGTGTTGCAATAATGAAGTAGCACAAAATATATGCACGAATATGACACACACAAAAGAAACTTTGTTCTTGTTGTTGATGTTGTTGCCTCCGAAAAACCACTCGCTGCTGACGTCGGCATTATAAATGAAAGGAAATGAGCATTTATTATCCTATTAACAATTGCAGTCTTATCAAAGTGCGTGCAGCAGCCGAGGAAGCCGAAGCCGAGAGCGAAGAAGAAAACACCGAAAGTATGGAAAGTGTGTGCAAAGTGTAGCAAACAATGAGCCAAACAACAATAACAAATTAATGCCAACTTGGTTGCAGGCGAGCAAAGTCATTGACGGCATTTGACGAGCCTTATTTTAGCTTGCCACACTTTCATATTCACTGTAGACGTAGTGCCACGCACTCTTAAACGCATTGAGGGGTGTCAAACGAAGGCGTGCTGCTTGTGGCAAGTGTTGTGTTGTTGACGATGACAATTCGAAGTTAAATTAATAGAATTCATCAAGGAGACACAGGAATTGCGATGCTCAAACTTATGAGAATTAGACATTCAAAGCTTTCTTTTCATAAATACTGTTATACATAAGTACATATGAATTACATAAAGTTTGATGTGAAAAGAGACAGTTGAAGATGACTTTTGCCGAAATGTCATTTGAAAGTTTTCAATTGTCGCATTGATATACGTCAACCGTCGGAATGGAAGCTGAAGTATAGAACTGAACCAAAAATTAATGCTAAAATAAGTATTTATGAAATAGGAGGTTTTTTTTTTATATAGCAGGAAATATCGAAAGCCGGAGTGCGGGAATTTAATACCGTTAATCCTAGCCTACTCCAAACATATGTCTCTCCCATAGGACCACTGGAAAAAGCATTACGTCATGGGAGAGAAGAAGACTATTAAGTCTCAACTACATATTGTACGGACTGACTGACGCCTAATCTGTTGTAAATGCCTTAGTCTTGTCTTAATTAGCCCCGACAGCTTTCCGTTTAACAGAGGACTCGCTCAGACGTGGAGTAAAATTTTTCACCGTGAGACTACCTCCAAGTGTCGTTTTCAGAGTCTTATGGCGATATTTGTATAGGTAGCTTCTAAAGCTATCTATCCATGAATGTATGTCCGGAATCAGTCTGTGGATCCAACATCCTTTACATGAAGTTTGCCACCGTTTCTGCCACATTGCGATGCTTTTGATTCTTTTTTACTGCGGCAGACGCCTCTAATCAGCTATATATTATCGGGAATTCATCTCACTGGATGTCAATTGGTGTCATACTGGCTAATGCGCGTATTGCAGAAAGCCTATACACTGCGTTAATTGGTCTAGCGCCTGTATTCATATTGGAGTCGCATATAGTATAACTGATCTCATTAGCTTATAAAAGATCGTCGGCTGGAACGTGCACAGCATTTATTTGCCATCATTCTATATAAGGCATCCTTCACATCCAGGGTTATTAGCGTGCAGTATTTTTTGTAGCCCCTTCCCATCTTATTGCACATTTCGCGGTATCAATTACTTTTCTTTGGCAATAGTGGATCTTATTTTTTAATCGCTTTCTTTCTTTATCCGACTTGTCTGTTGTCCTTTGGAAATTATTAAACAGCATGGATGCCGATAGAGTAATACGCTTTTAGAACCGCCAAAACCAGGGTGAGACCATTCTTACTGAGGGAAAAAGCTCACTGGATCTCATGCGATCAATGTTGGGCCTAAGGGATATTGCGAGAGCACATGAAGTAATTGTAGGTTAAGTTCCCGCGGTATGCAGCTACGCAGTAGTACAATAAACGAGGAGAGGGGAACCTGATCTCTCAGGATAGCGCAGCTAAAGTACACTTTCTTCCCAGCTCATTAGTTATATAGTAGTCTTATTACAAAGTAATTCGATGCTACTGATAACTTGGTTATATTTTCCATAAGCAGCCCTGAACGTTGGGTTAGTGTGCTCAAGGTTAGTATCGTCAGGAAATATAAAGCTATCGTAGGAGAAGAAGCAACTTCGGAGTGAAAAACACTACAAAAGTCAGGCAGTCAAAAACGGAAGTTGTTAGAGAGTTCCTGACAATGTACCCCTCCACCAAGCTTTTACCTGTCGGTAAAGAAGCTCACTACACCTCTTCTCCTATGCTTTCTACCCACCCACAAATCCATAGCAAGTATGTGGGCACAGTAAAAGGCGCCAGAGTTTGGTTTGGCGATTGCACGATCCAAAAGAACCGGTATAAAGTCAAAGTGAGTAAAATTTTCCTACGAACGGATTTTCCTACGGACTTAGTGATATGAGTTTAAATCGAGATTTATATTCATCCTATTGCAACAAGCTTCTATGGAAGCGATTAACTTGTCTAGTTCAGTACTGTATTTTGTCTGGAGCCTATCGATGGTGAGCTTTCATTGAAAAATGAAATTCAGAACCTGAAAGACTGGGCACTCTTGAAACTTTTATGTGTTGAAAAGTCTTACAGAGGAAGTATCAGTTTATTTTATTCTTTATTTAAATTATTTATTTTTTTCGAGCTCCATCATTGCACCTTACAGTAAATTTTTCAGATTATACAAACTGACGACTCTAATATGAATTATAAGATATGTGTTTTATTCCTCAACTAAATAGTTTTTATTTTATATACCTTTGCAGGGGTTTCGGCTTCATAACATTCAGTGATCCAGCCAGCGTAGACAAGGTTCTCACACAAGGTACTCACGAACTAGACGGTAAAAAGGTAAACCATTACTTCGTTCAAATACTTATTTTACACTTACACTTTTTTTACAATAATATTGTCACACATTAATTTATCTATATATGAGCTAATTATTTCGCGATTCAACTCAAAGACCCTAGAATAAAATATAAATATTTATTATATATAATAGAAAAAGTATATAAAGCGTGATCCATTGATCCATTGAGGTTCTCTTCTTCATCTCAGATGGTCCATCGGTTGAGTAAAATTTTCGATGACTCGTTCGAGCCGCTGGTAACTAGAGAATGACAAGCGTGATGTTTTACTTTAAGGCCTGACTTGAAGCGGGGTTGTCCGCATTGATTTTAAACTTTAAATATCCCTCAATAAATCCATTGACTGATGCGATGCGTGAGAAGTGACACCGTCTTATTGAAATCAAATGTCATTGGCGAGTTTCAATAGCAGACATCAAATAGTCGGTCATCACGGTCGCCGTTACTCTCTCCGGCACTATTTTTGAATGACCGATGATGTCACCGGCTCATAAACGACACCTAACTGCTTAAGGTTATTCTTCGTCCTAAATGCGTCAATTTTGCCCATATACCCATTGAGTCAGAAAGGACCTTCAGCGTTGAACAAAATTGGTCTCGAAAACTTTGGATTTTATTGGAACTTTTCAAAAGCCCATAAAGCGATTTCTCTTAATAAGGTCGAGCGGCTTCAGTGGCACAAGCTGTATTTTCTACGCTTTCAATTTAAGATCTGCGACCGCTGCCAAATCGGCTCTCAATTAAACAATTTAAAAAAAAAAAATGGTTAAAATCAGACCACTATAGCGTTTGACTGTCAGAGAACTGATCAATCAAATTCAAGTTCTTGTGTGACAAACTTTTTTATTTGCTGAGGTGTTTTATGAAGACCCATTCACATTCTTAGAGAACTACTGTATTTCAAATTCAACTTCACTCACTTACTGCTGTTCTCTCTTATTGACTTTGTAATTGTTGTCTATGTATACATATATACTTGATATATGTACATATGCATATGTAAGTGACATAAATATTTTTCTATTTTCTGTCACTAGTAAATACATATGTATGTACGTGATATTCACTCGCATTAACTTAATTACACAGGATTGACGCAGTCGCGAATGAATTCAAAGTTCGCTGGCAGTAGCCACGCGACTCCCCATCCAAGCTACGTATGCTAGTAGTGCGATTTGTGATGTTCAATTTCCGTTTGTTTGAAATTTGCGCTTTACAATTTTATTAAATTTTTTTTACGGCGGCTCTTCGGCTGAAAAGCGCGATGTAATAGTGAGATTTCATGCCATTTCCTCTTTAAAGTGTATTTTTTCTCGCTGTTGGTGTGGGCTGTACTTTCCCCGGCATGCCGCACATAACCTACTGCAAACATTAGTAAAGCAGCATCAATATTGCCCAAACATTTCCAATTATTTGCTATTTTCATTCATTTTCCATTTCGGTTCGTTAAACCTGTTTGCCAAATAGCCGAATAGGCACTGTACTGCAAAAAATAACGCTACATATTTAACAATTCTAATTCAATAACTTAATTACAGTTATTTGATTAATTTTACTAAAGGTTATGTTAGATTCTATTGGCTGGCTGTCACGCCATATATAGACCTACTGATCCTTAGTAATGGCAGTTAGAGGTTCAACACCTCAACGCTTTTTCTTAAGTGCGCAACTTTAAATTTAATTTTGGTGCTTCATATTATCTCTTCAACTTCGGTGCTCCTAGATATTTAAAAAAAGTTTTAAATAATGCTATATAGAACCATAGGAGGTGTTCCAGAGCCTCTCTCAAACCTACTTGCCTCCACTTACTGCATGTATCGTCATTACTTCTACCCATCCGGATCGCATTTGATGCCTGTAGGCTTTGATCTGTGACTAGGCCCACAACCATCGTGCAGTTCTGACGAGATCATGTGGTAAAAAGCAGACGCGTTTTTCTTCGGGACTCTTGTAAATGAAAGCTTTCCATCTCGCTCTCATCCATCTGCTAACCCTTTCGGAAATTTCATGTGCTGGTTCGTAAGACAGACGGATAGTATTTGTGATATTTGTGGCAATATCAGTCATTTCATTTCCCAGAATTCCTTTCCGGACTGGAACCCATAATACTCACTATATGCAGTCACATTCCGGCAGCCACTACATCTAAAGCTTCTAAGAACATTTTTTATTGGAATGCGATTTGAAATTATTGCTTTAATTGCTACATATATATATATTTTAGTATATATTGCTCCTTTTAATGCTCTTTTCTCAGCCGGTGGGCTTCCGCTGGAAGATACTCTGGTATTCCGGAAGCTTGAAGGATCGCCTTGTACCCAGCTCCAAGTAATAGATTCCAGCTCTCACTCTATTAGCCATTTTGGAACCTTCTGCAAAGATTTTGTAAGTTCAGCTGTCGACTGTTGCATACTCCTGCAATAGCAGTGAGGGTATGTGATCTACTTTATCCACCCACCCCCTACTTATTGAGCTCTGTCCGAAGGATCTTGCTGTCAAAGCTATATGGTAGAGGGTGAGGTGCAAAGATCCAGACACTTTCTTCACCATATCGGCAGTTTTACCTTTGGCGAACCAGGAGACCTTGCAAAAAGCTATAGTTGCCGACTCCATGCGCTGTAAGCACAAATGCGCTTTGTCTTCTTATGATCTATTAGATAGGAGCATTATGTAGGCAACACAACCGAATGGCGCTCTGAACTGTTCAAGTGAGATCCCTGATAGAATCGACCTTGTCTAATGTTTTTTTCAGCGTATAGTTCGCTGTCTGCGAAGTGGTGATTCAATGTTTTATTTTTTTTTTTTTCATGTTGGAAACGAATATTCAAAGTATAACGCTCGAAAACTCGATTTCTTAATAACTTACAAATTCAATTCAAAATACTTTTTGCAGTGTACGTTTACATCACACTCATTTCAGCTTAGTGGTCGGCTCATTGGCCAGTTGGCCGTCACTCGGGATATCAAGCCTAGAAACGTGGTCTGTCTTCCCCAACCTCACTCCCTTTTAGTTCAGCTACAATTTTGTATGTATGAATATACGAAATGTGTTGTTGTATGTGTGTGTGTCGCGTTCACTCAACGCTGATTAGTTTTAGCTTTAATCTCGAAATCGATTTCGCTGATGCCCGAATCTGGCAGGAAATTATCGTCCAGTTGCAATTGAGCTTTGGCGTTCTACCTGGCGAGCGCTACTATGTCACCCTCGCTCCCGGCCTCACTGGCACCACGCATTGCGTTTGTATGTCAATCGCGCGTTCTCCGATTTTTTTTTATATTCGACTATATTTCAATTTATATTTGTTATTGTTGCAATACAATTTCACTTCCCCAATACTATACTAAATATAGAATCCATATTATGGATGTATGTATGTATGTATTGAAGTATATATAAAGCTCTAGACGTTTGTCACCCAGTTGGAGCATATAATTTACTATTGCTGCTTTTAATTTACTTCGCTGTCGATTCAAGGACACGAAGATCTTCGCACTGATAAGCGGAGCCATGCAGTTCAACTTGAATTGGCAATTGGCTACAGCAGCTAGTTCATTTATGCAACATCACGCCTCGGCGTCTTAAAGTAGCGTCCGACGTGGAAATAAGCTGAAACCTCTGTTTTCGTGGATGAAATAGGATATCGTTTATATATGTACACTTACATATTATATAAATACATTTATATGCATAATCAAA